ACAGACGAAACTGGACACGGATTGTATAATAGGTATTCGTTTTCTGCTGTAAAAAGCTCAAATAACATTTGACAATTCCCAACGAAGAAAATTTTCCGTGTGGATAGTTAAATATACTTCTTTTCCGAAACTAGTTCAAAAGAAAAGATGAATTTGGCAAGTAACTGATCCGAAGTTTTAAATGAACATTAAAAAGGTGTGATTTTGTGCCTTGATGAAGGTTCCACCAATCTGAAAATCTGCTGCTGACTGTTTTCAAAAGCATTGCTGGAAAACAACTTGAAGATCCTTCATCTCAGGATATCCGTGTAAGGAACGCAAAACAGAAAAAATAATGTGTACTAGTTTTGGCAGAAATCAAAAGGAAAGTAGATAGGCGTTGGCTCGTTAACTAAACATTCGAAGCACTAATTTTGATAAGTGTTGTAAGATGATGCGGTATTTGCGCAAGTGTTTTGTTTGGGTATAAGTTTATCGACAAACATGTTGTGCATTTTGCTACACATATTAAGCGCATTTATTGAATAGTTGACAACTCGTTGAGATGGCATAGAAAAGATAGCCACCTGTACGCATATTAACTGAATGGAGTAGGCAAAAATATCCCATCGAGAGTTTTCAGAAAAAAAGCTTCATATTTAGAGACATATTTATATACTCATATCAGTTATGTTCTTTCTTAACTATCGTTTCCTTGTAGATTGAAATGGTTTCTATGGACGATAACGTTATATTGATCAAGAACGCTCCTCGTAAAGGTACTGTTTCGGACAATGCAAATGAAGCGCCGAGATCAATGCGAAATGTTCAAAATGCAAGAGAAGTTCAGTATAAACCTATCAATCGGATAAAAAATTACACTATTCGACAGAATATGTAAGACTTTTCTTGTGACATAAATTATTATCATTTTTGCTCTTTTGTAGGAAATATTTTTACTTGTTGATGCTTGATTTTATACCCAAACCTATCTTTGTATTGCCTATGGCCACAAGTATACTAACGATCATAGGTATATTCATAATTTGCTTTACCGCAGCAAAAACACCAGGTATGTTCTTCTTTTTTTACATCCTCCATGTTCAATATTATAACAGTCCATAGTTAATTCACTTCTGTTTTACCAATATTCTGAGTTTTACGACTGCTTCACTATAATTTTCTATAAGACAGAGATTATTACGTTTTTCTTAGTTTTTTTTTCATATATTAATAGAACAACAATCTCGTGATCTAACTTTCTACAAATTGATATTACATATTGTTAATTGTTGTCGAAAGGTCAACTTTATCTTGTTCAATGTTTCTGAATCACTTCTTACAATTATTTATGGTAACACTTTCGAACATCTAGAGGAAAACCTTAGCTAATGCTGGATTTTTTCTCTCTATTGAATTGATACGTTCTTGGATATCACAAGAATAAGAAAAAATACAAGCGATTTTCTCATAGAACCTGATAAAAGTAAATACTTCTTCTTCACGAAACAGTTTTCTGTATATTTTCTCACTTTACATTGCTTGTAGATGAGAGTAAGTTTTTATATGTGTTCCATCTACATCTTCTTTCTTTCAACTACTTTGTATATATCTCATAAAACAATACTTCTATCTAACTAATATCTGATTCGTGGTCGGCCATCTTCAGAAAGTGAACAGATAACAAGTATATGTCTTGGAAATAAAAATGAGTAATCCTCACAATCTCTTAAAAATATTATTAAACCTAACATCAGACATATTCTCCCATCATTCATCATCTTCAGTCGGTTCTAGTAAAGAATACATTTCATTACATCTAAATCAATGTTTATATTATATTTTTGGAAATAAATTTTATATATTTGAAATGGAAATCACCTTGAATCATCATGATGAATAGGATAAACAGAATTTCGAAGATCTCTAACCATTAACATCCAGACATCACTTCTGAATGAATGACAGTATTTGAAGTGTAGATTATTTCTCTTCTCTAAATTCTTTTCGGTATTAGGCAGTAAAAAGGTGTTTGTTTCACAATTCAAACAGATATATTACATCAAAAGTTTTATTGAGGGTTTGTTTCCAAGTTTTATTCTGCTATATGAGTTCTACTACTAATAAAATTATGAATTCAAATATAAGATATTTCGGAATATGTCAATCGTATTACTACACTTATCGGTAAATGTTAAGTAGTACCTACCAGAGTGGAAAAATTGATCAGTTTGCCTGTTGCCTCAAAGAAAACCCGTTCTATAAAAATAAGACTTTTTTAAATAAACTGTGATCATATATCTGAAGAATCGAGAAAATCAAAGGAGAAACGTATAAAAGAAACAGCCACTTTCGATATGGAATGAAGTGAAAAAATTCTTTGATACCACATTGAAACTGTTTGAAAAATGATTCAATCCTACTGAAATCGATTGCACTACCCTATTTTACTACATTTCAATTGGGTTTTTTTAGTAGGCGTATGATAGTCTTCCTCTTTAAGGATTTCACGCAGCTTTCTTCTAGTTATTTTAGTAGTTAAATTATTTCGATGATCGATCGTACCTAACACTCCAATAATATGTGCCGCTATTTTAGAAGGATCTATAGTATTGATATTAAGAAAACAGAAGCCGAGTATGTGGTTTTCTAGAGTCGATCTGAGATTATTAGGGAAAGTTTCCAATCTGTATAGCCATATAGCTGCAAGACTAACATGCCACCGAATAGTTTGTCAAAAACTGCATTAAAGCCTCAAAAGAAAACTTCATCATAAAGCTAGTCCAAAAGCAATTGAAAAACTTAAACTCTAATCACATACAAAACATATCGATAGAAATACTATTAGTTCACGGTAAATTTAGCATTTCATCTGAGTGTTTGTACGCAATTTACTGGTGCTTCAAATGACACTATGTACAGGTAGGTGAACAAATGTTTTGACTAAGTTATTATTGCTGTAAAGCCATTTGACTGAAGTAACAATGTAGAATTGTAATCTGCATCGAAAGTGATTGAATTGTTTTCCAAACAGTTAACTTGTCTTTTTATACACCCTCTTCCTTTGTTCGTGGTTTTCCGAAATTGTAGTCTTAAGGCTTCCTCTCCTAAACAGCCCTTTCTCGAAAATAAGGTTGCTAGAAGCTTTCAGAAACTATGAATGGTTTCACACTTCTCAACTCTAAACTCATTAGATTAAACTTTAGGCACATAATTATTTACATAAAATAAGTTGCTTTAAGGCGAAAAATTGAACTGACACATTTTCAATCCCATAATAAGATAACTTGTTAGTGACAATGATTCACCGTCTCAGCTTCCTAATCAAATGAAACACACCTATATAGTGCGAGAAACCATCATATAGCAAAAGAGATCATATTGTAACAATGGAGTATGATTATGATGTTCAAAATCGAAAATTAATCACCATTCAACTTATTAGATGATAGCTGTCTATAAATAGTCGTAGTTATATTCATTTTGTAGTCTCGAATCCTCGTAGAAAAACTTGTTCTATTCTAACTATTGTTGTTAATCAACAATGCATGACAAACATGACACGATGACAGGAATACTGCAGCAAGGAAATGTTGACTTTAGTTTGTTTCAAAACGGTTCAAAATTATCATCATTATATTGTAATTGTGGCTAATAGCATTGCTTTATGAATTAGTAAGACAGGAACGAATACAGTTTAGAACTCCTCATTAGTAGGAGTCCATGGTTCGCTTTATTATTATGTTACTCTCTGTTTCTAGCTTTCTTCAATCACTACCAGTTTCGCGAGACTCAATGAGGTTCTTATTGAAAACTGCTGGTTGTCATTCAGATTATTTTGTAACAATCTGACTAGTCCCTATAGAAAATAATAAGAATTATTTAAATCTGATATCATCGATTACGGATTATTAAATCTTGGTCATATATCAGTCTTCATCTATTTGTTCTTGTGTTATTTAGTCCCAAAATGTCAGTTTAATTTTAAAACGACAGCTCAAAAGCCGATTGAATATAAGTATGATCCACGAGCTGTCACTATGGGCGACTTCAATAATGATACTTGGTTAGATATTGTGGTTGCCAATTATGATGCTGACAATATAGCCATATATTTTGGACATGGCGACGGCACTGTGTCAAAACCAATCAAGGTTTCTACCGGTGACGACTCTGCTCCATACATGATTGCCGTCGGTGATTTTGACAATGATCATCAACCAGATATCGCTATCGCAAATTTCGGTACCAACAGTATCGGTATACTTCTTGGATTTCAAAATGAGTCTTTTGCAAACCAAACATTTCTATCAACTAAATCATCTCGTCCCATTTGGCTCCATGCCACAGACCTAAATAATGACTCAATACTAGATCTTGTCACTGCTAACTACGGCACACACAGTGTTAGCATATTCTATGGAAATGGGAATGCGACCTTTTCAAATCCAAGTACGTACTCTACAGGCTACGATTCATTCCCATTAGCAGTTGTTAGTGGCGATTTCAACAACGACAAACAGATGGATCTTGCCATCGCCAATTATGGCACCAATAATGTTGGTATATTCTTTGGAACTAGTAATCGCACTTTCACAAACCAATACACTATCTTAACTGGCCCTAATTCAAATCCGTATTCGCTTGCCGTTGGCTATTTCAATGGAGACACGAATCTAGACATTGCTGTCACCAATTATGGAAATGACAGTATAGGTGTACTTCTGGGATATGGCAACGGAACGTTTATGAGTCAAATGACATATTCCCTTCCTAATGCTTCTCCATATGCTATTGGCATTGGTGACTTCAACAACGACAATCAAATGGATTTAGTAGTCACCAATAATGGCACTAACAATATAGCTCTACTTGTTGGATATGGCAACGGTACCTTTGCGAGCCCAACACTGTATTCAACTGGATCTTCTTCATCAATCTCCGTTACCATAGGTGACTTGAACAAAGACAATCGCTCAGACATTGTCTTCATCAGCAATGATACAAACACCATAGGCATTATGGTTGGCTATGACGAATTTTTTCCGATTCAAAAGACGTATTCAACTGACAGAGTGCCATACTCTGTAGCAGTTGGTGATTTTAATAACGACACCCACCTGGATATCGTCGTAGCCAATAGACGTGTCGCCACTGTAAGTGTACTTGTCGGATATGGTGATGGCTCTTTTGCAAATCAGACGACATATTCAACTGGATCTCGGCCAGTGTCTGTAGTTGTTGGTGACTTTAACAACGACAATCATCTGGACATCGCTGCAGCTAATTCTATAGACAACACTGTAAGTGTTCTTCTCGGATATGGTAATGGCTCGTTTGCAAATCAAACGAAATATTTGACTGGTTCAAGTCCAGTTTCTGTGGCAGTTGGTGATTTTAACAACGATACTCATCTGGACATCGTCGTAGCCAATGCAGATGACAACACTGTAAGTGTCCTTCTTGGATATGGCAATGGTTCTTTTGCAAATCAGTCGACCTATTCAACTGGTTTGGTACCATGGTCTGTAGATGTTGGTGACTTTAATAGTGATACCAGACTTGATATCGTCACCGCCAATCTTGATGACAACACTGTAAGTGTACTTCTTGGATATGGAGATGGCTCTTTTGCAGATGAAATCACATATTTAATTGGATCTTCACCATTGTCTGTAGCTGTTGGTGACTTTAACTACGACACTCATCTAGATATCGTCGTAGCCAATAGAGATGACGATACCGTAAGTGTTCTTCTCGGATATGGTAATGGCTCGTTTGCGAATCAAAAGACATATTCGACTGACTCTCAACCATCATCAATAGCTGTTAAGGACTTTAATAATGACACTAGACTTGATATTGTCACCGCCAATTTTGGTGGCAACACTGTAAGTGTACTTCTTGGATATGGGGATGGTTCTTTTGCTAATCAAACGACATATTTAACTGGCTCCGGCACACTAGCTGTCGCTGTTGGTGATTTTAACCACGATACTCGAACAGATATTGTCGCTGTCAATTTTAATAACAACACTGTGAGTATACTACTTCGGTATGACCGAGGTGCTCTGAAAGACAAAGTCACGTTTGCCAGTAGCGACGGTTCTCGTTTGCGAAGCTTTGCCGTTTTTGATTTCAATAATGACAGTGTATTGGATATCGCCGTTGCTAATTATGGCACTAATGACATAGGTATCCTTCTTGGACATGAGAATGGTGCTTACGGAAAGCAAATGGTGCTCTCAACAGGCTTAAATTCTCGGCCTTACTCAATAGCTATTCATGATTTCAACAGAGACGATCGAGTAGATATAGCCGTGGCCAATTATGGCACTAAAAATCTTGTTACATTTATGGGAAACGGAAACGGAACATTTGAAAATAGAGCAAGTTACAGTATAGACTTCGATTTCTCTCCGCTGGCGATTGGTGCTAGTAGTCTGAATCAACATGAACGTTCAGAAATTTTGGAGTACGAATATTATGTCATCAATTTTTTCGAACAACTCTAGTAGCTCTCTTCTGCAATCTTCCTAACTTATCACGATTCTGAACGATATTCTCGCAGCAAACCTAATCATCTGAGGAAGTCCATCAAATAATTGACAAAAAATAAATATTTGGCGATTTTTAATGCCTTTTAACGGACACATCACTTTGAATGATTATGTAAGAACGTCCAATAGGTTGAAAGTGCCATACACACGCTGATTGTTACTAAATTTATAACGAAGAAAGAAGCAAGACAACTTTCTTCAATCACCAAGATCCAAATAACTCTTAAATACTTGTTTAGATATCACTGTCTTATGTTTTGCCGTTGTTCTTTCCTCACCGTTCTTTAACGAATATAGTTACCTTCTAGTAGAAAATTATTATCAGTATGCAGAAAAAGCACATGTTTTAGAAGGTTCAATATAATATATCATACCTACAGAAATAGAATAATTTCTCTGACTGTTGTTCCCTTAAGCCAACTGAATAATGGATTTTGACATATGCCAACATGACTTGAGCAAACATTTATTGAATGCATCTGAGTTATTCAGACATTCCTGAAATCCTTCCGTAACCAAAGAAATTGATTTTTAAAACTGATTATTTTAATAAAAATGAAATAGCGCAACAAAATCTATGCTTTGAGTAATGATGTAAGTTTTGTTCATGGCACATGGCTTGGAAATATTTATGAATTTTTTTCTCAAAGAAATTATGTTTATTGTAAGGTAATCTTCAGCATAACTCATTTAGCAAGTTTTAAGCAATGTTTATATTGTCTTACCGAATAGTGACAATATGCACCAATACATCTCTCAAGGACTCCTCTTCCGTATCATTTCCTGCCACTTTTTGTTAGCTCTTTCTCTTTATCTTCATATATTGAGTGGTGCTATTTTCGAACAGTCCTTTAGGTTCGTGAATGCTACTTGTTTCCAACATAAGATTAAGTTGATATGAATTCTATTTCATTAGTTCAAAAGTATTGTACAGTACATATGTAAGAAACCTGTCTAACTTTTCATCAAAGAGTATCATTAATATTCAGATTATTACTCACGTTCGATTGCCGAATCAGAAATTATTATTATACATCAATTACGTTTTGCAGATACGCGACTGAAATTACCATATTTTAAACTTCAAGTGAATTATACGTAGTGTACAGTTGTTCTATAGGGCGTGACAAGAATGGTTTATATAAGTTTCAAATAATACATAGGTCTCTAAAAAACTAACTCTATAAGAGAACATATCATGAAAAGAGCTTTATTTGCTACTTTTTGTTCAATAAAAAACAAATCGGTTCATTTCTCAGATAAAAAAGGTGACCAACAAACCACTTTTCTACGTAATTATATTTCACGAGTAAGAATAGATGAATTCTCATAGAATAAATATTACCTATTGACACTTATTGAGCAGGTCTTTTATGGAAATTTACTTTCCATTTCGTTTTCTCAGAGTTTTTAATAAGTTGATGTTCGAAGTTTGTAACAAAATAAAATGCTCCTATTTCCTTTTGACTAATTTCCATAGATTGTGTATTGTTTGAATGATAGAATTAACAGAGAATGAAGAATTTCCATTGAAAAAATCACTTGAGAGTTCTATTGATGCTTTATACGTATAGAAAACCTTCAGTGGCCTACATACTAAGCTTTCCGTGGTTTCCATTATCACAGAGTTGATTGCATCTGTTACAGACGACGAATCTCGAGACAGAACACAAAAACTGAACTATTGTGATGCAATTTTGGTGGGGTACGAAAGTTCGAAAAGGGTACAATACTGAGAGTGTCAAATTATAATTACTTTCAGTTCAGTTTAGGAGCAAAGGTAATTATTAGTAATTTACAATTTTTTGGAATTTAAAAATAAATTGTAGATGACCCAATTCATTCTATAAGAGAAGACCTTATACGTACCTGGCTCGATTGATTTAGCCTTCTCTAACTACAATATTATTGAAGGATAGATACCATGAAAAAGCGCAACTTGGCAAATATTTTAATAATCAATCTGAGATGCCTTAGTCATTTTTCTAAGAGTTTTTTTGATTTGAAAGTATAAAAAGCTTGAAGCATAAGAACGAAATGTGACACTAGTCAAACAGAACTATAAAACTATGAACCCATATTGCATATGTGCACAAGAAAACATTTCTCTGTGAAGTCTTATCCAAATTACCGTAAGGTAACATAAGACATCAAAATAGACACATCTTTGTTTTGTCCTTGATATAAATAGACTTTCTTGGTTCTACCTTCATGATGTCTTCTTTGGTAGCGAATTCAAACTGTTATAAAGAGAAATAGTTATGTGCCCTAAAAGACTTCGCTACTAAGGTATGATATAAAAGCGAAATGAAATAGTGCAATGAACAGTCCATAGGCCATAGAAATTCAAAGAATTACAAACATGAAAGTAGAAGATCACTGAAAGGCATCAATGTTCGATAATCTGAAATCCATCTACTTTAGCTTGCAGCTAGTCGTACTGCATGAGACGATGTAATGAATATTAGGTAGGAAATCCGCAATTTACTTTTCCAAAATTCCAAGGTGCTACAAATATCTCAAACTATGGACTACTTGAAAATACAATACAATTTCTTTTCATGCACTTCATCGACATCTGGAAAAACGTTTCTTATAATTTTGCATAATGCGCGATGCTGATGAATGATGGCAGTTGTTAACTTACTAGTGAAAATTTGTGAGAAGAAAGAATATTTTTTTTTATCATAGTTTGGAAAATCATGATATAAGTAAAATGTGTTATCGTCAGCTTCAATTTGAAACTTAAAGAAAACATGCCAGAACGTCCTTTCATATCTTATCTATCTCTACAGTCAACATAGCACAAATGTTTCTGGGTCTGACAGAAGACTTTCGAAAAAGCCATGTCTTTTGAAACACTTTCTATTTTCCTCAGGTGAGAGACATTTTTCTATTGAATAAAAAGATCATATTCACAATTAGTACAACAAACTGCGTCGAACCAAATTCGACACAACTATATTACAGCAAAGTACGTTTCTTTGGTTTTTCTGGCATGAGATCTTCTTATATTAAGTTACTCGAAAACTTCTGACTTTTAGAGAAGAACTTCCCTACTTTTGATCACTCCCTAGGCTGAAAACTAACAATCACACCTTTATTTCTAGTTTTATACTGAATTTAGACATCGAATTACTTTGAGCTTGAGAGACTCTGCTAAGAGAATCGGTTAAGTAGTGCTTTGATGAGAAGATAGCTTGATTCTACAAAAATAGTCTGAGTTAAGGCTAGTTGAGTACTTTTCCAACCATGGCTCATCATTTTGTCATTTAATTGGAGTATTTTAACATATTCTATATGCTTCACTATATTCATTCTTAGATTTTTATAATTGGAGAGCAGCTAAACTTTTTGAAATGCTACTAGATGAAGAAGTTGAATGGATTGAATCAAATTTTGATGGATCAGTTGGGTTTGAATTAATTGCGATTTGTAATTTATTAAACTCAAAACTAAATTAAATTATTTCACTTTTTTGTATTCTTTTATGTAAGAAATATATTCTATTTTTAACATTATATTCATGTGGTAATTGAGTGATATACAATTATTTCATTCAATTGATAGTAGTGACGATCAGTTATCTCTCACTGACTGCTGGGTAACGAGACAGTATGTGTCCATCCTTTACTGCCGATTCAATGAAAGCATTATATATGACTGGATTCATAACTAAATATGATGTTAACAATAGGACCTATTTGTTATTATAGAATACTTGAAGAAATTTTCTTTTTTTATGTAGTGACAGAGAAAATGATGCTCTATTTTTCTATGCTATTTGATGAATCTTCAACTAGTGCCGTAATAATAAAAGGGTGTGGGTGCGTGAGTTATTAATGGAGAAAAACACACACCCACACCCATACCCATACCGACACCCATACCCACACCCACACCCACACCCTTTCATATACCTCTTCCTACACTCGAGGAAATATTATTATTTTCTCAAAAAACCCTTCCCTTTATCCTAAAAATTCAGTTCAAAATTTTGAGAAACTGACTTCAGATTCGGATTCTCCGACCCCGATTTACGTTCGTCAACCTTTATAGAATGTCGTTATTTTCTCAGAAAATCCTTCCCTTGACCCTAAAAATTCAGTTCACAATTTTGAGAAACCGACTTCAGATTCGGATTCTCCGATCCCGATTTACTTTAGTGAAAATCTATGAAAATTGACCGTGGATGTTTTCTTGGCCTTGTGACAAGTAAGCAAACAAGCAAACTATTTTTTTCATATGTCCCTCCCTTCAGTCCAGGAAATTTCCACGCAACTAAGACTAAACAAAATCTTCTATGGCTTGAGTTGATTTTAAACTAACGGAAAAATGACGCCGTAGACTGCACCCAAATATAGGGTGCGTACTGCAGATCTGTACCTGACGAAAGAATGCACCAAGAAGCATAATAGGGCTCCTCATATCTTATGAGTCTGGATTCTCCAAACTACACTGAAAACAAAAAAGGTTTTATACGAAACTAAAAAAGGCTTTCGTGATATCCACGAAACTCTTTTTAGGTTTTGCAGTTTGTAACGAATTCGAAACCCTTCTTTGGTTTGGTATAGTACAACAAAACCCTGAAAACAGTTTGCTGGATGCTTTGTACGTGTTTGTGAGGGTTTCGTATGGCACTACGAAACCATCATTAAAAATTGATGGTTTCGAAGTCTTACACGAAACCAAAAAAGGGTTTCGAATTCGTTACAAAACTACGAAACCGTTTTTGTTTTCAGTGTATAAATCCTGTTATTTTCCTTCTTAAAATATGTTTTATTTATGAGTTATGCTTTGAATCACATAGAAACATTGACGGAAAACATTGATATTTCTAATTCTGTGGTTATCGATGATCCCTCGTCCAAGAACTTATCGATGAAGCTAGATTACTCGTGACATAACCATTGGATAAGAAGAAATTACAAGGATAGCTTTCATTCGAATATGCATAGGCAAAGGATCAGCTAACATAAAGTTCGGTTATCAAATTATTATTTCTTCAACACTAACTCTTCTCGTTGCTATGCAAAACGAGCATACCGTGATCTAACTGCTTCTCTCATTCAATACGTACTATGCGGACAGCTCTTATGTTCGTTGCATATGAAGGCATCGATCATATAGATATGTTTATCACATACAACCTTGGATCTTTTGATCGTGATATTAAATATTCAACTGGTACTTGGCCTCAATCCGTAGCTCTAGGTGATTTTAATAAAGATACCTATCTGGATATCGTCGTTGCTAATAAGAAGAACAATATGATCAGTATCCTTATTGGGTATGGCGATGGTTCTTTTGCAAAGCAAACGCAATATTCCACTAACTCCTCGCCATCCTCTGTAGCTGTTGGTGACTTCAACAACGACACTCATCTGGATATCGTCGTTACTAATTCCGGTGGCAACACTATAAGTGTTTTTCTCGGATATGGCAATGGCTCTTTTTCAAAGCAAACGACATATTCAACGGGCTCCTCGCCGTGGTCTGTAGCTGTTAGTGACTTTAACAACGACACTAGATTAGATATCGTCACTGCCAATATTTATGAAAACACTCTAAGTATTCTTCTCGGATATGGCAATGGCTCTTTTGCAGATGAAATAACATCTTCAACTGTCTTCTCGCCAAGCTCTGTAGCTGTTGATGATTTTAACAACGACTCCCAACTGGATATCGTCGTTGCTAATATTTATCACAATACTGTAAGCATCCTTCTCGGATATGGCAATGGCTATTTTGCAAATCCAATGATTTATTCAACTGGTGCTTTGCCAGAGGGTGTGGGTGTTGATGATTTTAATAACGACACCCAATTGGATATTGTCGTTGCTAATTATGGTGATAACAGTGTAAGTATCCTTCTCGGATATGGCAATGGCTCTTTTGCAAACCAGATGAAGTATTCAGCTGGTTCTGGCCCAAGTGCTGTAGCTATTGATGATTTTAACAACGACAACAAACTAGACATTGTCGTTACTAACTGGAAAGCTAACACTATGAGTATTTTGCTTGGATATGGTAATGGTGTTTTTGAAAAACCAATGATATATTCCACTGGTTCTAGTCCTTCATCTGTAGCTGTTGGCGATTTTAATATGGACACCCAATTGGATATCGTTGTTGCTAATCTTAATGAGAAAAGTGTTAGTGTATATCTCGGATATCCAAAAGAAGGTTTCTTAAACCAAATGAGACTTATAAGTAGCAATGGATCTCGCCCCAAGTCGTTCGCTATTGGCGATTTTAACAAGGACGGTCAAATGGATATTGCAGTGGCGAATTCAGGCACGAACAATATTGGTATTTTTCTGAGATATGACAATGGTTCTTTCGCAAATCAAATAACATATTCAACTGATTCTTCACCATGGTCAATAGCTATTGGGGATTTCAACAACGATGTGATACTTGATATCGTTGTTGCGAATCGTGATAGTGACAATGTTGGTGTATTTCTGGGATATAGTAATGGATCTTTTTCAGGTCAAAAGATGTTTACGACTGGTTTTAACTCTCAACCGAACATGATTGCTGTTGGCGATTTCAACAACGACACTTTGCTGGATATAATTGTTGCGAATTATGGTACAAACAACATAGGTGTATTGCTCGGTTATGGAAATGGCTCCTTTGCCAATGTCAAGCTTTTTCGGTCTAGTTATGGATCCCATCCATTCTCAATTTCTGTTGGTGATTTAGACAGTGATGGAAAGTTGGATTTCGTTGTTGCTAACGAAGGTGCTGAGAATTTAAATACTTTTTTACAAACTTGTTAATATTGATACTTTAGACTTGAGTGCTTTCTATTCATTCACTATTTCTAATTTTTACTTGGTGCTTCTAATATTTTTTCTTCTAACTGTTTTTGCGTGTAGGTATGCTGAAAATTAATAAGTTTCATATAAAGATAAAAAGTATGAAGTGAAACTACCAAAATACGTTTCACTACAGTGAAGAATCTTTTCAGTTGCAAGGTATGGATATGTCAAGGATACCATAGCGTCTTTCGATCTTATTCGGAGCCCTCCTCAGATGATTAGAAAAAATATATGTTTTGATGTGATATTGTGATCATAGAGAAAACAGGTAATGTCAAATTTACAGTTATTGTATTGCTAAATAGCGTGCGGAAAGAAGAAAAAATTATTTGCATGTAGCATCTACATTCTTTTGTATCATCTCTTTCATTGTAACTTATTGTAGCAATTAAAGCATCATTTCTCTAGTTCTCATAATTTTATAGCAATATGATTTTTAAATAGTTTCACTCTGATGGTTTTAAGTTCTGTAAAGCCTAGTGGGTGCGTGTGGATATATGTTCACTGAATAAATTCAAAGCATCATACGACGCGTTTCAACTAGAGCTCAACCCAGCCATTATCAGGTATGTTCGAAGTCTAGAAACTACATAAATATAGCTAAGACTTTGTGTACCATATATCTTAATATTAAAACAATTTCTATGAGGGTCGTAAGATCAACAACAAAACTATTCTTGGAGTGTGAGTGTGGGTGTGAGTGGGTGTTTATGGGTGAGTGGGAGTGTAATTGTTAATCTTTTCTTTCCTCAAACCCGTACCCAAAGCCACACGCACACCGCAAATCCACCTACCCACACTCACTGATTGATGACTTTATTTCATTAATCATAAGTTTGCAAATGTAGCTAAAACAACATTGTTTAAGCATCGAAGTGACACTTGAATTAATTTTCCGAGTCGGCAAAGGAACCAGTCGTGATTACTTTATTTTACTAAATAATACATCGGCACATAAGTTCTGAGAGTTTGGATCAGTAGAATAATATTGTCAATATAAAACTACATTTTAAGGAAAGTAATTATATATTCTGATAGTGCTCGAAATTCTCTATCACTCTGTGTATTTAAGTCTTGACTTACATTTATTTGCTGAAAAATATTTTGAGTACAGTGAAAATATTTTTGTCCACATTGACAATATGCGAAATATTTCTCAACAAATAAGTTCAAGTCAACATCTGAGTACACAGGGCGATAGAGCATTTCAAGAGCATCCAAAATATATGATTACTTTACTAACAATACGAATTACCGTGTAGATAAAAGTTTTAAAAACACGTGAGAAAAGAAAGAAATGGAGTTTGTGGGAATCTGAGAGTGAGGGTGCCTTCACTGTACTCAAAATATTTTTCAGCAAATAAATGTAAGTCAAGACTTAAATATACAGGATGATAGACAATTCCGAGCACTATCAGAATATATAATTATTTTCCTTAAAATGTAGTTTTACATTGACGATATTATACTACAGATCCAAACTCTCAGAACATATGTGCCGATGTATTAGTTTCACCGTAACCTAATTATGCAATAACATGTGTTTCAATCGATTCTGTTTTGCTAAACATTCTTTAATCCTGCAAGTATTCTGAAAAACGAGCTTTGAGAAAGGAATGAGTCATCTTAACGAAATGAATCATCTACGTAGATGAGTTACATTTCATCATTTACCATAAACTAGAGAAAAACCTAGAGAGAACTACGCTTGAACGGAGTTGAACCGCCTATCTTCCGGTTATCAGTCGGACGCGTTAACCGTTTCGCCACAAGAGCTCGCACTTGTGTTTTTTGCAAGCTCTTTTGAAATGGCTTCAGCCCAAGAACTTCTCTAGCGAAATAAAAAAAAACATTTCACATTGGTTCTGCAACGTGTTTCGATACAATATCACAGTTACTGACTTCTCATGAATCGGGTGCATAAATCAGCTATCTTTATATCAATCTGCTTGAATAGCTACTTTTCGAAACTGGGTAGTTCAATACTTGTGAAAAAAAACAGATAGGATATTGAGACTCTCTTGGTGCTTTCTAAGCAGCTTTAACAGCGAATGTGTACGAACATATGCTGGTTCAATGCATGTCATGTGCGCAGTAGGAAAGAATCTTTTGATTTCATGTGAATATCTTAATTAATTGAGAGTTACCATTCTTTCATAGACTATCGTTGAAGAGAGCGATAGAATGGAAAGAGACAGACAGTTGAATCTTTTCTAGAAAAAAGTAAATAACTTGCTTTCATCATACCTTTCCAACTCAATGATTATTTCTCGTATGAGTTTGATATGCGTTCAGCTTCCTGAACAGAATTTTGTGAACGCAAATGAACTATGGCGTCAAATAAGTATATCTCTTAATCCATTCGACCAGCATTCTGAATGATCTAGCAAAGCACTTTGTAACGAAAAGATTTCTGGTACTAATGCTACTCTACTGTGAGCTGTGGGCACTTCGTTTTCTGATGTATGTTTCAGAATTCAGTGTCATTCATACAACTCTTCTAATACATGGTGTATGTGCCAAATATCTCAGCAGATATATAAACGCGATGTTCATGATCACATCGGAGCTCATTCTTCTGTGTGTTAGCAACAAAATTAATAATCATTATATGCATCCTCCATGGTGATACTATATACTCAATCATTAAAACCTTCGCTTTAACGAGTCGATGTTGAAAGCTTAAAATTTAGTTCGTATCTGGATTCGAAGTGACTACAGAAGAAAAGAATCGAAAAAATCATTCACAGCTCACGATAAAGAAAGCCGTGCTCCTGTGGTGTAATTGGATAACGCGTCCGGATCCTAACCGGCAAATTGATGGTTCGAGTCCATCCGGGAGCGGTTGCACATTACATATTTTTTTTCCACATCTCTGACGTATCATGATGATGTAATACCTTGTGTATAGAACGATGCTTACCTTTCAAACGTGATTTCATCATCTGCATGTTGTCTTTCTGTTCTTGTGCGTTTTTGCAATGATTCAATACTCGCACAAACGTTTTACAAAAACTATATAATTTGTTACTATTATCCTGTTCTGTTGAAATATTTCATCATTCACCACGCTTAAAAAAGTTAGAGAGTAATACTCTTGGACGGAGTTGAACCATCTATCTTTCGGTTATCAGCCGAACGCGCTAACCGTTTCGCCACAAGAGCTTGCATTTCTTAATTTTAGACGGATTTTTAAAATGCCACTGACAGAAAATGTTTTCGTTGGAAAATATGGCAGAGTTTCTTGATAGAAAAACCTCTATGTATTACTTGGAATCCATGCGTGTAAGCAGTATGAGCGTTCATTTCTCATGAAAGTCCACATGCGTATCAGCACGCGTGTATCGTTTAGATTCCTTTCTATGAATAATGAAATAAGGGCGTATGGTTAGCTATATCTCATAGAGTGTGCTTCGTCTTTGTCGG